TCCTCGCATGACAGCTGAAAGGCATTAAATACCAGGACAGGTGTGCCCTGCAAATGATCGGTGTACACATATGTACTAAAACTCTAACAGTTTAAGAGACCTTTTATCGCAAATGCTACACCATCGCTGAAATGTCGGGCGAGTAGAAGACCATCTTTCATCCTAGGCTAAACAGCATAAATAGCATGCTTGGCTACCCTTCGAACACCTAAAGCAAATATCTCACGACTAATAATTTGAGGGAAAAGTCTGTATGCACTGCATTTTATAAGGCCTAGGGTAAATTAATTTAAATGCAATTATGAATTGCCCTGACAAATGTTCTCAAGAGAAAGGACTGTTTTGGAAAAAAGATCAGTTCGGCAGTTTAACTATTAAGCGACATACTATTAGGACAATGTTTCACATCGCATTTGGAACAAATAACTTTCATGGTAAAATGTAACCTCCAGAATTTGATATTTACTGCTAAATTCTATTAGCTACTGTTGTTTGGTTGATGACAACTTATTTCTTTATGCCTCTACAGAGACGACTTTGAAATCACTTGCGATGAAGTTGATCAAATCGTGGAAATCTGCGCTTCCGTTCCAGGCGTCTATGGAGCGCGCATGACTGGCGGGGGATTCGGTGGCTGTGTGGTGGCCCTAGTCAAACCCAGCTCCGTCAGTGAGCTAGTCCAGAAAATTGACGTACGTTTTTACTGAATCACCAGCTTGTTCAGTTTAGTTTAGTTTCATTAAGGAATCGATGGTGAGTGTCTTTGCGTTCTTTGAGCGGCTAGGAAGTGTATAGAGGCAAAGGAAGATTAAATGCCTGCAGGCGAAATGTAAGCAGCTGTTGGGTATTCGAAATACAAATAACTTAGGAAGAGTAAGTTAATAATTTTAAATGACAAGCGTGTTTCATGTGATGCCTATCACAGGCACATACATGATTACATAGGATTTCGGATAAGAGAACCCTCTAGGCGTGTTGAATGCCTTCACCATGGTCCTGAAAGAAATTTATGCTTATCGTTTATTTTGTCTTTAAGGAATAATAATACTTATAATTTTTAGGCAAAATGATCCTCGAATATATCAGTTCAATCAGGTTGTCGGCTTTGTGCTGACATAAACTGCGGGTACCCGGAGAAATGCTTTGGGTAGAAAGTGCCTACTTATACATCATAACGTTTTCCAAGTATTTTTTATCTCGAAAACTTCCTCCTCATACTCTTTTTGTAGCAAACTTGCATTTTCCTTAAAATACATGTTTTAATAAAGCATACCTAGTGGTTTTAAGCGTTTTACGCTATTCTATTTTTAGGTCCACGTAATTTCCGAGCACCCAGCATCAAATTGGTTTATTTATTAATGTTGCTTAAAGAGTACACAACCCACTTCCCATCCAAGTCTAAATTAAATGCTATTTATGTGACCTCTTCCTGATAGCGTGGAAAAATATGTGTATTTTCCTCAGAAGGAATTCCCTGATAGCTCACATTCCTAATTATTTGCTATGGGTTGAACGGAACCTTTTCTGGAGGTATAACGCTTGAAGGAAAGCAAGTGAGCAATTAAAAGGATAAGTGTCTGCCCGTTTCGTATAGAATACACTAGCATATTTTCAGCGGCATCGAAAATGAATTAATCAAATGCATACTACTTCAGTAGTAATTTGTTACGCAATTTTGACTGAATAAACGTCTTTATAATCGGACCTCCTAATGTGGTTAAAATATTTTGACATTAGGCTATAGCATAATGATAGTAACAGGACTTTTAAAGTAATATTCTCGAACCGACAGTAGATTTTACAATTTAAGGTAATATTT